CGGCGGGAGCGCCGCCGCACTCCCAAGCGGTGCACTCTCCAGTGCACCACCGGGCCGGCCCCATCAGTACTTTTAAAAGTTCCCCAGGTGATTACAATGTGTAATGAAGGCTGAGAACTACTGTTCCAAACAGTCCCCAATTACATAGGCTTTGAAGCCCTTGTAATCTATCAGTGTCTGGATTAATGCACACAGGAATTGCATCAGTGCCAAGCCCGCTGCAGTGCTCAGGAAAGGGGCCTGCAGCTCCCCATCCCTGCACATCTGCACAGCCTCCAGCAAAGCCACCAGGGCATGTTTCTTTTAACCCTCCTCATAAGGAGACTAGGGCTGTCATGCCTAGGAAGGCCACTTGGACCCCAAAGAGAGCTCGGAAGGCCTTGAAGAAATTCAGTCCTGGTCTTAGAGAAGCCAGGGAAAAAAGGGCAGCTCCTGAGTCTGGCAGCTGCCACACCAGGAGTGAAAAGGTGCAAGGAGTAAAGATAAGTAAAAACCTGTCCAAATAGGAGATCACTTTAGAAAGGCAGCTGTTGGCTAGTGGAGAGACTATCACGTGCCTGCAGGTAGCTTTCACCCAGGAGACATATGAATGAGCATGGGGAGAAAGGGCTGAATGAGGAAGGCAGGAGTGAGGGAATGAATGAACGAACGAGGGAGTGAATGAATGAACGAGGAAATGGTGGGGGAAGGGAAGGAAAAATAAGTAAACAAGTAGATCAATGAACAAGTGGAAGACCAGATGAAGAGCTGAACGATTAAATATACTTATCAGACCCTTGCTACTCTAAGCATTGTCCACGGACCAGCAGCCTCAGCATCGCCTGGGAGCTCATTTGAAATGCAGTCTCAGGCCCCACCCAGAACTACTGTATCTGCACTTTAACAAGCTCTCCAAGTGATCTGCATGCACACTAAAATTTGGGAAATACTTTATTAACTATCAGTGTATCCTAACCCTAGCTAGATACATTACAATCACACTGAGAAACTTAATAAAGATACGATGCCCAGACCCTGCCTCAGATCAAGTACATCAGAACTTGGAGGGTTAGGGCCTGGGCATGCTGTCTCTGCAGCAGCTCCCGCAGGGTCCTCATGTCCAGCCAGGGGTTGAGAACCACAGGACTGGACAGAGCTGTGCTCAGCCTCTGGTAGCTTAAGAGTGGCTTGGTATGATCAAGATGGACCATCTGAGCTTAGGGCCGCAGTCCCAGCTATGATGTTTACAGAACATGGATTCTGACTGGCCAAGAGCGGCCCTGCTGTTTTCTTCCCAGATCCCCTCTTTCCTGACCCCACTTGGAGGGGGGTCCTTCTGAGAGACAGTCTTCACTTGACGGCCTCATCCAAGGGGAGGAGGGGCCTGTTGTTGTTTGCCAATGCATTATCACCAGCCTCTGCCCAAAGTGACCTCAGGAACAGCTGCTTCCAATCCACAGGTCTGCTGGTCACTAAGGAGACCCAGAGTCAGAGGGGCCTAAAAACCAAGGCCTCGGGATCTAGCTCCCTTTTTAAGAATCTGGGGTCAAACAAAGTTACAGCTTCAAGTGTCAGCTTTAAAGGGTCTTCCGGAACTTCCAGCACTGAGGTCAACAACTGATGGCCCACAGAATAGTTCCCTTTAGCCCAAGCCGAAATTTAAAATAGAAACATAGTTGTTAACATCTGAAATCAAGAGATTTCATATTTTCACGATTTCCCAGCTCCTACGGAAAACTTTGCAGATCTAGCAACAATTAGCTAGAGCTGTGCTGGACACCCCTTTAGCAGGCAGCAGCCTCAGTTCCTGGAGCCCCCATCCCCACCTGACCTAAGTGCTCCATGCAGTGCCCACCCAGCCCTTGGCAGTGTTTGACCTTGGAGCCTCTGATGCTAACCCAGATCTTCCCTTAGAGGAGAAGCGAGGGACCCAAGCAGACATGAGCACAAAGTGTCTCTGCCTTTCAATCCAGAGCTCCATTGCTGCTAGCACCGTGCTCCAGGCTGCCTCTCATTCATTCCAAAGCCCTTGCTGGAATCTGAAATTCACAAAAAGGGCAGCTTTTGTGGGAAGCAAGAATTCCGTTTAACTGGATATCTTATTCCTCTTCCCCATCCACCCTCCACAGAGGAAGAGCCAGTAAGTAGCTGGTTCTGTGACAGGAAGGCCCAGGATATGACATTCTCAGAGAGAAGTAAAGGAGAGAGGCCTGTGGACGTGAGGGGTGGGGAGGCAACACGAGAGACTTCCCTCTACAACAGTGAAAGATAACATCTATATTTGGGGAAGGAGGGGATGGGTGGTTACTTCTATTTCCTTTTGGTTCTTTGGGAATCTCTTCTTCTTGCTGAGGAAAAAGATTTGGCAGGCCCAAAATGATCCTTTAAAGATTGTATCAAACCTGGTCAACAAACCTTCCTCCGAAGCTGGAGCAGGAGGTCAGGGAGGGTTTGGAGACCATGCTCGAGGAGCGGAGAGGTCAGGGAAAGTGAGGGCCTGCAGGTGCAGGGCAGAGTGTGGCTCCCCACACTGGCTCTGGCTCCAGCAGGGTCCTGTCCACATCTGCTGTTGAGTGCAGAGCCAATAAACTGATATGGCGGCCTCTCCAGAGGTGGGGAATGAGGAGACAGTGATCACAGTGACCAGCTTCCATGTTCTTCCTGAAGGTGAGATACAAAGGATTAGCTGGAGGCAAAGGACCCAGGCAACCCCTTCGTGTCTCTCTCACAGGCACCTCTGGGCCTTCTTGACTCCTGGAACTCAAGAAGGAGTCTGGAAGTCAAGGTCAGAAGGATGGGCCAATGCTTGGGCCCCAGCCTGTGTTGTCCACTCTTTGGGCACAAAATAGGCCCTAGAGCCCTTGCTGGGCATCAAGCTTCCCGGGCGCCTGTCATCAGTTGCTGTCGCTGT